ACTCATATTACCGATATTACCAATATTACTAATATTACCAATAATTTCCTTATACATCCTCATAAGTTAATTTCAAACGAATTCGCAATAAGTACAAAAAAAAAAATCGGACATTTTAGGACATTTTATAAATTATAATACCGGTAGAATACCGGTAATAAAGACGATTCAGTTAACCGATTACTTACCACGATATTTGTTTTAAAAGGAAAATTTTTGTAATGACAAATTAAAAGCCAAATCTTGCTTTTATTTTTTGCATACAATAAATAATACGTAGTAAGAATGAATGAATGTGAATGTATGAATGCGAATGTATAAATGTAAATAACTGTAAAAAAAAAAAAAAGATCATAAATAGAAACTAGGCTGCATTACAAATCAATAAATACGAATTATTAATAAATGCTACTCTTACTCAATAGATATGAACTATTCAGATAATAAATACTACTAGAGTATTCCGAATAAATGCATATATGCATATATAGTGAATTGCTTCTATTTGTTATCAAATGATTTGCATCGAAAAGAAAGTTTTTACATTTTTTTTACATTTTTACGCGTGGCAATATAAAGTAATTATAACTGCATGAATCTAACGAATCAATTATCTTTTAAGTGATAGATCTCAAGTACATAATAAGTACATAAAAGTGCATATATAGTTAAATTTATCTTATATGCTCTAAATACTCTAAATGCTTTAAATGTTACTCTAAATGCTCTAAATGTAAATGGAGGTTGTACTTTGAGAAATTTGGTAATAACTATAGTAACTAGGGATGGACACGATAAAATTGAATCAAATCGACTCAGGGATGATACTAAGCGAGTACACTTAATATGAGATCAAACATTGAGTCAATTCGACTCTCACAAAAGTGCGAACGAGTCAAGTCTCGACTTGTTTAATCGTGATCATCCCTAGCAGTAAAAGCGTTCTTATTAGATTTATATAGACTTTATGGCGGTGAACTAAGTAAGAAAAACCATGTGGCATGTTTATATAAATATATGATTGAGAGAGCAACTTGAAAATCACGTGGGATAATCATAATTAATGAAAACGCATGATGTCGAGAAAATTTAAGGATAGATAAATGATAAATTAAACGATAAGAAGTTTAATGATAAATAAGTTTAGTGATAAATAAATATAATGATAAATAAATATAATGATAAATAAATATAATGATAGGTAAAATTAAATTTAAGGATAATAAGTTTGAAGATAAGTAAATTTTGGAGTTTGAAGATAGGTAAGTTTGAAGATAAATAAGTTTGATAAGTTTGAAGATAAATAAGTTTGATTAGTTATTAATACACTAATACACCAAGTAAAAGAAGGGGCGTAATTAAGGAGAAAGACTTTCCATTTTTGGTTCTTTATATTATCTAAAAAGAGTCTAAAATAATAAAAATAGAATAGATAGAATAGATAGAATGAGAATCAATTAAAAACAATTAGTTAATAATAGTTAATGATTGAAAATCAATTGATCATGGATTTTAGGCACATGCATTATGATTAATTTTGTATTGGATTTACGACTAATGGTAACTAATGGGTAACTAATGAGTAACTAAGGTAACTAAAAAGTAACTAAAGAGTAACTAACGAGTAACTAATGAGTAACTAATGAGTAACTAATGAGTAACTAATGAGTAACTAATGAGAAGTAGAATCTTCAATACTGTATGCGCTGTATACAAGTATATATAGTATATATAATATATATAGCATATATAGTATATAACGATGAAGCATACAAATAAATATAGAGATATTCAGATTTTCCTAATAAACGAGATAAACAAGTTAAAGAATGTTCTTTAATTATTAATTATGCAGTGATGATTGTGGAGAAAATATGAATTTGTAATCGTAAAGTAATTAAAGTTAATTTAATTTTCTATGATCATGAATTAACATTGAGTAGATGCTGCACATGTGTATACATTTAACAAAATCACAAAAAAATCATGAAATATGAATGAATAAGATCGATAACACTCCTGGACAATGATATTAATGAATGATGGGCGTTAATTAATGGCTAATCATGAGAATATATCAATTCAAAAAGAAGATTACGATGATATTGTCAGTAAAAAGGGTTTGACAGAGATTTGATCTGTTAAATGTTACTGGTATAACAAAATGAAAGAAGCAAGAGTAGCTTATCTATTGCGTCACCAACATCTATCTCACCAACGAAGATCGGAAAATGGAATAAATCTGATGATTTAATAATAAATAAATTAGAAATTTTACGTTGACGAAAACGAGACAGTAAATTGTCAGCAGTAACGAGTTCTACAGAGATAGAAGAAATTGAATATAATTGGTTTGATTTATGTTTTATGAGAAAGGTTGCCTTTTATAGCGTGGGTAATCCTTAAATGACCATTAAATATATGCTAATGTATGCTAGCTTTTTTTTTTTTTTTTTTTTTGTATTATCTTATCGATTCATAATTCATAGTTATAAACTGCAGGATTGTTGATAGTAAACATAAATAAATAAATAAATAAATAAATAAATCTGCGATCTCTGTTTATATCACATGATGTGGTCTGACCGCCAAAAAATCGAAATGCTTTCTCTTTCACAATAAATCCTGTAATCCTGTAATCCTGTAATCATGAGTAATTAATAATATACTTTATTATTGTATAAAGGAAAAGATCATATTAATAATCTTAATTATCTCGTCCATTCGTATAATTCATAATTAATAAAATTAATAATTAAATTAATAAATGAAGCATGCTGTATGAGCATCATGATTTTTGAGGTTCATCGATCATGCATGTCTTATCGACACCTTTAGTACTCCCAAGACTCCTAAACTCCTAAAATTCCCTAAACTCCTAAAATTCCCCAAGACTCTTAAAATTCTCATGATTCCTAAAATCATACCATTAACTTTATTATCTTTATGATCTTTATTATCTTTATAATCTTTATTATCTTCATTATCTTCATTATCTTCATTATATTCATTATCTTCATTATCTTCATTATCTCTAATTTTTCTTGTTTCTGCAATTAAAAAATATGTTAAAAACTTCACTTTTAATAATTTTAATGACCGTACAAAAACTCTACAAAAATAATAATAATAAATACTATAAATACTGTAAATCAATGAATAAAATAAAAAATAAAAATAAATAAAAACAAAAAAATAAATGAAAATAACAAACGCAATATATTTTACCATGCATGTAAATGCTTCTAGCCTCCTATTAGCTGTGCTAACTTCGAATGACGCTAGTTCTCTTGATGGAAAATTTATTAGAAACTTTTTCAAAATTTCAACGATTGACCGTTAGCGTTACCCCTAATGATAAAATTTTTTCAACAAATGATCATACAATGGAAATCAATTTAACAAAAATCTAGCCCAGTTCCACCGCATATACTTATTTCCCTCATATAGTATGGTATGGAAGTACTGCTCGACTACGGATGTAAAAAATTAAAATATTTTCCATAAGCTATATTATTATATTATTAGATATTATTACGTTGCTATGATATATTACAATAGTATCGTTTAAATATCTTTAGTTATTATTCAAGTTATTCAAGTTATTCAAGTTATTCAAGTTACTCAAGTTTAGCTGAGGCTTTAATAAATCTACTTGCACAGTAGTACAATCTTCTTCAAATTCCGAAATTTGTAGAAATATTTACAGAGAAACATTTGCTGTTTCAAGCCAATTCTCATCCATTTTCTAGAACAGAGTTTTTTTTAAAAAAATATGCATTTAATGTTTTCATTTGCATATTAAAGTAATGACACGAGCATTGCCATGACATAATACAGACTTGTTTTTTTTTTTCTCTTACACACGATAATTCTCATACCTGGACTATCAAACTGTACCTCCAGACCCCACCTTTTTGCTAGTTACAACAT